AGGGCTCGATCCCAGGACCCTGGGATCATGACCTGAGCCAAAGGCAGAGGCTTTAATCCACTGAGCCACCCAGGTGCCCCCGAAGTAGACAGTATTATGCTAAGTGAAATAAGTCAAATCAGAGAAAGACAATGATCAAATGATCTCATATGTGGAACTTAAGAAACAAAACAGGAGCATAGAGGAAGGGAGGGAAAAATAAGATGACAAAAACAGAGAGGGAGACAAATGATAAGACTGTTTAAAAAAATATATTTATTTACTTGTCAGAGAGCAAGCATGAGCAGGGGGAGGGATAAAGGGAGAAGGAAGAGGGAGAAACAAACTCCCACTAAGCAGGGAGCCCAATGCAGGACTTGATCCCAGAAGCCCAGGATCATAAGCTGAGCCAAAGGCAGACACTCAACCTGAGCCACCCAGACAACCCCCATAAAAAACTCTTAACTCTAGGAAACAAACTGAAGGTTGCTGGAGAGGAGGTGGGTGAAAGGATGTGGTAACTGGGTGAAGGGTATTAAGTGACGTAATGAGCAGTGGGTGTTATGTAAGACTGATGAATCACTGAATTCTACCTGTAATACTAATAATACTGTGTATGTTATATAGTTGTATTTAAATAAAAAATTGAAAAGAAATAAGATTACAATATTCAAGATATTATGTCATTATTATAACCACAAATAATTCACCAAAAGAGTAGTGTCCAGAAAAAGATTCACACATGACTATAAATACTAAGGAAATGGAATGATAGAAATAAAAGAGTTTTCAACAACTCATATTGGAACAAGTATATAATTATATGGGAAAAAATCCCAACCTTTATATATGAAAATCAATTTGAAATATTTTATAGAACTAAAGACAAAAAGTAATCTATAAAGCATCTAGAAATAAAAGAGTAACAGGAGAATATTTAACCTGTCTTATGCTGGAAAAGATGACTTAAAGAGAATGCAAAAAACCTTTTCTTAAAATAATCAGACTTCATCACAATGGGAAACTTCTGCACATTAAAAATCATTGTGAATAGGAAAAGGAAATTACATATGGAAGAAAGTATTTGCAGTACATGTGTGGTGATTTCTATTGAGAAGGTATTAAGAAAATCTTACAGTTGAAAGATAAAAAATAAGAAGTTTAATTCTAAAAAAAAAAAAAAAAAATGGGGGCTCCTGGGTGGCTCAGTAGGTTAAGCCTCTGCCTTCGGCTCAGGTCATGATCCCAGGGTCCTGGGATTGAGCCCCGCATCGGGCTCTCTGCTCAGTGGGAAGCCCGCTTCCTCCTCTCTCTCTACATGCCTCTCTGCCTACTTGTAATCTCTGTCAAATAAATAAATAAAATTTTAAAAAATATATATATATAAAATAAAATAAAATAATAAAAAAAAAGAACAAAACCGATAAATTTGAGCCCAAATTTACTCAAGGGAAGCATGAAAAATGAATCTTGGAACACTACACCAAAAACTAATGAGGTACTGTATGGTGACTAACAACATAATTAAAAAAAAATAATTTTTTTTTTAAAAAAGGGAGACATTAACGTCAAGTATGAAAATAAATGGTAATCAGTATCCTTATTCATCAGAGAAATAAAAATTAAAAGTATAATGAGATACCATCCTACACCCTCTAGAATTTTATTTTTTTTATTCTTTTTTTTTTTGGCTCTTCTTTTACCCTCTAGAATTTTAAAGATTAAATATGTAAGACAGTTTTAAAGAATGAAATAATCACATATTGGGAAAGATGTGGGACAAATGAAATGTTCATAAAATTTGGTAAAGAATGTGAATTCATACAAAACTATGGAAAACTCCTTGGAATTTTCTTACAAAGTTAAACACACTTTTTTTTTTTTTTTTAAGATTTTATTTATTTGACAGACAGAGATCACGAGTAGGCAGAGAGGCAGGCAGAGAGAGAGAGGAAGCAGGCTCCCCGCTGAGCAGAGAGCCTGATGTGGGGCTCGATCCCAAGACCCTGGGATCATGACCTGAGCTGAAGGCAGAGGCTTTAACCCACTGAGCCACCCAAGCACCCCGTTAAACATACTCTTAATCCACATCCCAACAACTATACTCCTAGGTATTTACTGAACAGGTATTTTAATTTTAGTCCAAAACATGCTTATGTATATTCATAGCAGCTCTATTAAAACTGCCAAAACCCAGAAATAACTCATTTGTTTCCTGACAAGTGATAAAGAAACTAGTATATTCATACAGTGGAACACTAATTAACAATAAAAAATAAATTCCTGATTCATCATACAGCAAAAGAAATTTTCAAAAAATATTCTCAAAAACATTATGTTAATTGGAGAATCTAACCACAGAATAGTACATGCAGTGTCAGCTCTTTCATATGAACTCACAACAAGCAAAACTAATTTCTGGTGATACAAATTTAGAAAGTGATTAACCATTGTGGGCCAAACACAAGAGAATTCTTTGGAATGAAATGTACTATGTCTTATTTGGAATGTTGATTACTTAGGTGTACACACTAGTCAAAAATAGTTGAACTGTATCTGTACAGTTATCTCTCTTCATAATTTTACATCAAAAAACATCTGTAAAGACAATCACCACCCCTTTTGTTGTAAAGACAACAAAATCCCCAGTTTTATATATGTAAAGTAGTGCTAATTATAGTAATGGATATATGAAAAATATGGTGAACATACAAACCCACTTTATGCCAATATCAAGTTCCTTGTTTAGAGGTTATGCTTTGATTTGACACAATTATGCAACTGTGGGGAAAAAGGGTCAGGGAATTCTCTCTGCCACCTTCCCAACTTCCTGTAAGACTAAACTTATCAAAATTAAAAATGAAAGAAATATAATACAGGAGAACTGTTTAAAAATGTAAGAAGACTGCATGTGCATAGATTTATAATTTTAGATATATACAATCCTTACATTAAAAATTTACTAAGATATAACTTAAGGATTTAGATTTTGATTGTAAATTTTAATGTTAAAATTTATATTAAAAAAGTGTGGGAGATTTTTAATAGTTTTCAGCAGGTAAAACTGTGATCATCTGAAACAAATTAGATTGGTTTGGGAAGAACAACACAACTGTTACAGAATAGGAACTGTCATCCAAAAAAGGAATTTGTTGAAAAATCTCTAGCATCTTGAAAAACCATTTGGGATTGCCAGTCTAATGCAGAAAGGTGAGGGCTTACCTTAAAAACAAAAAATATGCCATGTAAACAAAACTCACCATTTTCAAAAATTATATATGTATATCCTCATGACCTAAATTTTCACTGGGTACCCATATATATCACTTGGTGTATGTCAATATTGTCTTTTGAGGAATCAAGGAATGCAACATTCCTAAAATAGCAGACTATCAAAGGAATCAGAAAGAAATAATTAAGAATGTCTTTGTTCTTCTGGTAGGAAACAGAAACAACAATGTTGAAAACAAAAGTCCAGAAAAAGAAACTACCAAATGTAATGGTTTCATATTTACATGTAATTCTTTACAGAATCTGCACATACATATTACATTTTAAATATCAGCCTTTCAATCTCTTATTATATAATATACATTTTAAAAACTGTTATAAATAATTATTACATATTATAAACTCTTACCTAGAAAACATTCTTCAAAATATCTTACGTATCAAAACAAATTCATATGTATCAAGCTTTACATATGAATTTGTAAAAAAAAAAAAAAAAAAAAAAAAACTTTGGTTTTAATCATTTTTTAATATCTCTATCACATATTTAAATAAGCACAAGACAAACAAGCATGTTTATTACAAAAACAATCACCTGACTAGTTTGAAGTTCCCTTTGGTCCCTGGAATATCCGTAGGAAACTCATCAGGTGTACTACTGCCACAGGATCTATAACATTCTGGCCGAGGACAACTTGTATCATCAAGTTTATAAATCTGAAATTAATGAAAAGGTTGAAATTGCCATCTGCATATTTGACAAGTAACATAAAAATAGTTTCTACTTGCATATCTTATGTACCTTGGCATTAGCATATCCAAGCTTAATTGTAATATTCCTCTCCAGTTCATTTTTGAACCTGACAGTGTGAACTCCAGAAATAGCTTTTACAACTGTAGATTTTCCGTGAGCAACATGACCAATTGTACCTACAAAAAAACAAAAAAATTTAATCTATATGCATCCAATTACACCAAATATTTTAGTGTAGAGAAACCAAATGCATAACTCATTATAAATATGTCAATCTATAATTAATAATGAATTTTTCCTTCCACATACACTTTCTATACAAAACTTTCCTGAAACAAGACCAAAGTTAAGTTTCTAAATACCCAGCTTGTATACAAACACACTCAGTGTGTAATATAAGCTGCAAAGTGTATTGTTGATCCGGAAAAAAAAATAACTCCTTGAAATAAAAATCATTGAAAAATATACAAAGTTTTGTGTACTTAAAAACTTATCAGTATTTGTAGTGAGGTAATTATGCATAAAAATCAGATACAAGGGTGCCTGGGTGGCTCAGTGGGTTAAGCCGCTGCCTTCGGCTCGGGTCATGATCTCAGGGTCCTGGGATCGAGTCCCGCATCCGGCTCTCTGCTCAGCAGGGAGCCTGCTTCCCTCTCTCTCTGCCTGCCTCTCTACTTGTGATCTCTCTCTGTCCAATAAATAAATAAAAATATTTTTAAAAAAAATGAGATACAAAAAGAGAACCCATAAAAATCAGAAAACAGTGTTTGTTTAATTACGGTAATTAAATATACTTTAGAAGTGGTATAATGTGGGATGCCTGGGTGGCTCAGTTGGTTGGATGACTGCCTTCGGCTCAGGTCATGATCCTGGAGTCCCGGGATCGAGTCCCGCATCGGGCTCCCAGCTCCATGGGGAGTCTGCTTCTCTCTCTGACCTTCTCCTCGCTCATGCTCTCTCTCACTGTCTCTCTCTCAAATAAATAAATAAAATCTTAAAAAAAAAAAAAAAAGAAGTGGTATAATGTTTTCCAAGTTCTTCATGACTATGAGTTTTAATAGGTTTTACTATTCGTAGAAACCCTAAAATATCCAAATTTTAGAGTCAACCAAGTAACTTGTATTGTAAATTAGGAAGCTGCCAATTAAGAAAAATATTTACTTAATAATAACATATAAAGACTTTTGAAGACCTGTTTTAACAATAATCTTGTGTTCATTAGCATTTTAGGGCTTCCTTAACCTCTGGTTTATGCACAACCTTATCCGTAGAACATACTGTTTTTTCACAAATCTATGTCTTTTTAAAAAATATATATCCAGTACTTTTTAAAAAAAGATTTTGTTTTATTTATCTGAGACAGAGAGAGGTGAGACCACAGAGGGGGAGGGAGAAGCAGACTCCCCTGAGCAGGGAGCTCCATGGTACTGGGTCCCAGGGCTCTGAGATCATGACCTGAGCTGAATGCAGAGGTTTAACCCACTGGACCACTTAAGCATCCCCATCTATGTCTTTTTGTAACACTTGCTTCTTAAGCCAGACATGAAGAGAATTCATTGTGGGTTTTTGTTTTTTTTTAAGATTTTATTTATTTGACAGAAACAGACAGTGAGAGAGGGAACACAAGCGAGGGAAGTGGTAGAGGAGGATCCTGCTCCCTGCTGAGTGGGGGCTCCATCTCAGGACCCCAGGATCATGACCTGAGCCAAAGGGAGAGGCTTAAGGATTGAGCCATGAAGGTGAGCTGAAGTCACTGTGTTCTGAAGGAACTCCAGCAGGTTTGTTCGTGGCTGAATTTCATTTTGTATATATATGGGAATATATCATTCCGTGTGTGCGTATATATATGAACGTACATATAAATTTACATACAGTATGTAATTTACATATATGAATGTTTATATAGATATATGAATCCTTCTATAATTCAGTTATTTGTACGAGATTAAAAAGCATTATTGGATAATAGCCAAGTCAAGACTTCAAAGTTTAATATTGTATGCAATCAGTTTGCTTACCTATGTTAATTGTGGCTTGTCTGCTGATAACTTCCTGTGAGAGTGGGGTCAATTTGGTAACATCCTGCAATGAAACATGTTATTAAATCTACCCGGTGTAATACAAACCAGGAGTCTGATTTTGGTTTTTATTTGTACAGCTCGCCACCATCAATTCAACTCCCTACTGGCTACAAAACAAAACAAAAACAAAACGAAAGAAAAACAAAACAACAAAAAACAAATACCTTTACTATAAAAGGTGTCTTTATTCCGGAAACAGAATGACCAGGCTAATAAATGCTAAAAGCGTTTGTGCTTAAAAGAAAAATTGCAACCTTCACTCCAGATATAAAAAGCAAAGGCCCCAAATTTTAGCAGTCCTCAGAAACGGTCCCTGCCCAGCCCTTTAAAGGCGCAAACTAATCTGTTTAATATATGCTTTTCTCAGACCTTCAGAGATAAAAATCTTAGAGACATCTGAACTGCACACTTTTGAGCATAATCCTTATGGGTCTTGTATTCCCAACGATCTCAACAGCTCGCTGGTCTCGAAGACAAGGGGGAAGTGCAGACGGAAGCGCAAGCGCGGCGTACTGCGTTCGGCTGCAGCGTTTTCCTCCTAACCCACTGTCCTGACAGTTCAACACTGTCCCGTCTGAATGCTGGGAAGGCGGACTATCCCGACTCCTGAGCTCTCTCCGCATGTCTCAGAACGAAACCTTACCAATGTGGAGAGATCCTGGCGAGAAAGATGCGGCTGCCCCAGAGTTACTCCAGCCTCACCACCCGCCATCGTGCTCTGAGGGGAAGGAAGTCATTCCGACCGTTTTCGAGCCGAACGCAGGTCCCCTTGTGTCGTAGAAGCGGAGACCGGAAGACCCACCAGGGCCCACGCCTGGCATAGAAGGATGGCGGGTGAAGCAAGGGCCTCTCTGTTTGGACTTCTTTCTGCCTACATTTACATAGTATTTGCTGGCATACTTACTATAAAAATAAGAGCAAACTTTGGGAATCTGTCCGTCGCAGAGATGAAGGATATTTGTTCAGGCAACTTCGAAGGCAACCCTACAAAGTCGAACGTTTCTCGTCAGTCCCGCGAGGTGAGTGACGCAATTGGCAGAGCCGCTGGCCATTTCCATATCCTACGGCGGAGTTCTGAACGTAGTACTCTTCTTTGGGATATGATCGTGAACAGTGAAGTTTCTTTCCTAAATCCGTAATTTTATAACATGGGTTCCAGGCCTGCCTTCTTGCATCTGGGTGGTTGGCTGGGAGAGTGCCGTGCAGACTTACTAACGCCCAAAAAACCATTCATACTTTGGCGTGTGGCGGGAGGGCGATGTCTAAAGAGGTTTCAGTGAAGTCCTCAGGGACCCAGGGATGGCAAAACCGAAGTCCTTAGTCTGTTTTCAGATTTCTAGATAAATTTTCATCACCTCCTATCACTGCATTCAGTGTATTTATCTTAAGTATCAGAGAGCCCGAATGTTTGTAAAAAGCAGATTCAAGAAAGTCACTTTTTAAATGATATTTTAAAATATCAATAACTCTATACTTAATTTTTTAAAATTTAGCTCTACTTCATTTATCTGATTTTTAAAACGTGAAAATATTTGGAAAGTAGCTTTCCCTGGGTGGCCAAGTTGTGATTGATGTTTGTATTACAGCATTTTTGCACCCTTCTGACAAAAAAATACATGGAGGAGGCCAAAATTGAATTGAAAAATTGAAAATCTTCTTATGCTCCTTTCACAGAGTTCTCAAGATTATTAGGTGGTCAGTCTTTTTTAAGAATTTAATTGAAAAACTGTGGCAGAACCAAAGTGGGTCCTGGTTCTTGTTGACTTATGGACAGACTACATCAAGTGAACTTGTTAAGAGTCCCCATGCCTCCCTGAATAAGGGTAAGGAGATGCCTTTTATTAGGCCTTTAGAGAAATATTCAGAGTGAATTAATAAAATTGTTCTTGAAAATTGAAAAATATTACTAGAATTTCTGAAAGAAAGTTTTATTTGAGCCCAACTTAGGATGGCTACCCATAAAACTCCATCTGCATAAAGAAGAAAATGTTCTTGAGAAGGAACTTTTTGTGCAGGATTACATATATCTTTTACTTAAAAGTTTTACACAAAGGAAATTCCAGATAGTTTCAGACCTTATCTCAAGTTGGTAGTATATGTATCACTATGACATTAGTCTTAAGGGAACCAGGTTGGTTTCCTTTTTCATATTTTTGTGTTCAGAATGGTCCTTTTTGCTTATTTCCTTTAATGATACAACTGTACAGTGGTGCTCAGATTTTGAGGTTTTGCTGAGCCATTCTAACTTTGGTAAATGTTACAGTATAGCTTCCCTTGCATTCCAGGGTTCATGAGTTAAAGTTTGGAAATTTCCTTTATTTATCATTTACTCCTTTTGATCAATAATATTTTCTCAAAAAGCATTGGTAATCAATTATATGTCCATTGGTGCCAGGGTGATTGGCATGTCTGTCCTGTGTCCATCAAGTCCTTGTTTTATGTATTTTTTTCTCTCTCCATATATATGTATTTTTTTTTTAATTTTACCTAAAGCTTATTGTTGGGGCATCTTACTGGAATGTAAATGGTGGGAAACTTAAAAATGATACATGTTTTCTATTAAATCTAACTGATAAGCAAAAATAGCACATGTGCTTGGTTTAGACTGTATAGTTTTACATTTGATATAACAAAGATAGATAGACAGTACAATTACAGTAACTACAATTTGAAGGAACTAATGTAATGTTGGAATAGACTTTAAAAAATCTTTCATATTCATCTTGATAAAAGGGTAGGAACATTCGTGATTATTCATGAGGAAAAACGAAGCATGAATATTGAGTAAACATATACGGAACATATATTTCATATTTATCTTTGGGTGGAGACTTAACATCAAAATGAGTCTAAATTCAGCCCCTGTCATCAGGAGGTTATCTTATGATAAGGAGAAGGCCATGGATATGCTCTAAGGGCTGCTATTAAGTTGGGTGAAGTCTTGGACTCCTTATCTGTTGTATATAGGTCTTTGCTAATTCATAGCCTAGAACTGCATCCATTGATCTTGCACATCCATTAATCTTGCACCATAGAGAGCTGGTGGGTTTGTTAGTGGGGTCTGAAAAGACATAGTAGCTGATAGGGGAAAATGGTTCTTTGAAAAACGAGCTTAACTTCTGCTAGTTTCTGATGGGATGTGGAGCAAATGGAGCAAACAGTTAAAGAATTCTTGAGATGTTTTTGGAGCAAAAAGGTGTTTTTATTAAAGCACAGGGATAGGACCCATGGGCAGAAAGAGCTGCACTGGGATTATGAGGAGCCACTTTAGTTAGTGGGGAGTTAATAATGATAGTGTAAGTCCCTGAGGAATTTGGAAGCAAGGTTTCTAAGACCTTGAGGGGCTAGCTGCTGTTAAGATAAAGTTATACACTATCGTTTGGTAAAATAGTAAAACATTAGTCATAAGATCTTCAGATGTAGATCAGTGGGTTGTATGTTTGAAGGAAGATCGTTAATGTGTATTGTGGGTAGGGGTTGTAGAGGTAAAGGAAGTTTCTAAAAGGATTGTCTTTTGTTGAGGAAGACTTACAGGATCCTCCATACGTGGCTATTATCAAGCCTTTGCCTCTAGCCAAGCATCAACTTTAAAGTCTTGTGAGCTCCTTGAGGAGGATCGTACTTTCTCTGTATCAAGTATTTGCCAATAGGCTACAGATTGTAGGGAAATTTAATTTAAAAAAATTTTTAAAGATTTTATTTATTTATTTGACATGGAGAGACAGAGAGAGAGAGAAACATCACAATTAGGCAGAGCGGGGTAAGCAGGCTCCCCGCTGAGCAGAGAGCCCGGCAGGCTTCAATCCCAGGACCCTGAGATCATGACCTGAGCCAAAGGCAGAGGCTTAACACACTGAGCCACCCAGGTGCCCTGGAAATTTAATTTTTTCTACATTTCTTTTGCCTTTGTTCTCAACAGTTCCATCCTCATTAACCCTATGTACACAGTTCTGGTTCTCCCCTGAGTTATGATCATCTCTTAATCTTGAACTGGGATGATTGCTACTTTGGCTACTTCCTGTTGAAATGGGGTAAAGTTTTGGAGTTTGACTATTCTCTCTTGACCTCATGTAAGAAGTTGTTCCATATCTTGTGAACCAGGCTTAGTGTAATTTAGTTAAACAGTATTCTCATTTTAGGAGGTGGCCCTGCAGGCAACCTTTCAAAGCTAGGCCTATGTTGTGTAAGCAATCAAGTAATTAATATGTATGGACACAGCAGAAACAACAGAAAAAGCATAAGTTAACGGTTGGGCCAAGTTATAAACCCATTGTCTGAATCCCGAGTGCTGGCAGTGAGATTTCTAGATGTCAAGCTCCAAGCATCCTCAGATGGAGTGGGAGAAGGCAGCAGCAATCTGATGGGTTTTTCTGGTTTGTAGTTCAGATTTCTCTGGTAATCCCTTTAAGTGGCCCATAGAGCTAGAGCATGAAGGTTCTTTACTTATGAGCTGTTGTGGCAATTTCTCTGAAGTTTACCTCGTGTTGTCCAGCTTCATTCTACAGGGTTTCTGGAAAAAGGGCACTTTTAGTCCTTGATGATCCCATGTCAAGAAAATGGGAGCCAGATTGGAGCCTTAGTTTGGAGAGTGTCAGTCATATACTTGAGGAAACCAGGATAATTCAGGATCCAGACCAATTTTACAGGCAAACAAGAAGCAAAGTTAATTCATCAGAATTAGAATCTAACGTCCAGAAAGGTGTGTTATTGAAACTTTTATTTTAAAGACATTAACTTTATTCTCTCTTCAAAAATCTGGGGGTATTCCAGGCAGTCCTTACCCCTAAGATTTAGGCCTTTGGGGCTAGGGTTGAATGCAGCAGCTTGTGTGTTCATGCCCTGGTGTTTGTGGATATATGTGTGTGGCCAACACAGAGCCAACGATCTTAGGTGCCTGGTCTTATCATAGCAACGTGGCCATTCTAGCAATGTACTGGACAGCTGACGTTTTCCTGGGGAAGGATGGTAAGAGTAGTTGTAGGGTCCCCAGTGCAAGTACCCTTGCACTGGTTCCTATTGAGCATGAGATTGCTGGCATTGGGAGTTTCAAGAGAGCTTTCTTCTGCCTTTGAAGAGCACCAGGGCTCTACCCAGGCATGTTAAGCATTGGAGCCTGGCTCCTGAGCCCTGTTGGGGTCTCTAGGCCTCAGGCCCTGGGGAGAGGGCTGGATAATTGTAGTTAGGGTGCCTGTTTTCTTTGAATTTGGTCATCTTGATAGCCTCTTCATTGGGGGGGTAACACTTTGGGATATACAGACTGTAGGCAGGAGAGGTGATGGAATTATGGTCCAAATACCTAATGGGTAGTGGCAATGCATGTCCAGTAGGTACTGCATGGAACTATAGGAGGTCACAGTGCTGTGAATGATGGTATCGTTGTCCGTATAGGTGTCATGTAGCAAGGTTGAGATGCTGGTGACAAGTGTGGCTGGGTGTGTGCCCACTTCTAGAGATACAGAATTAGGCGTACATGGCTGTAATCCTCACAGCAGCAGGAAAACAGCAAGTGAGATAAGTCCCTTGTGCAACAGGATGTTCCAGCAGTCCTGGAATCCAACTGCACCAAATATGGCAGTGGCAGGAGTGGTGATAGTAGTACAAAACTGGTTTGTGGGTACCCCCATGCTCTGTGTGTATTAGGGAGAGTGAAGATGGATTTCTTTCTGAAATTATCTCATTTCTGGTATATGTGGTTAGTTCATTAGCCTGAGC